CGCGACTTCTCCATCTGTCGGCTTGATGACTGTGCCTGCTTCACAGCCGCCTCCAGTCTTGTCCGCGCGGTGTTCACGTCCGAGTCGTCGCCACTGTCGTCCGTGTCGCGTGGGTTGCGCGTCCTCTTCTCTGATTTCTTCGAATCGGACTGTTAGGCCCGCGCCGCTCTCTTTCGCTCTGTGTTCGTCTCCACCCAGTACTTACCGGTCCATATATGTCCAGGCGGCACGTCCCACGCTCCGGAGTAGTCGTTCCACACGCCCTGTAGATTAGTGAAGAGCGCGACTAGCCCTGCCTCGCCATCTGTCATCATTGCGTGGTTCCCCGCCGCATAAAGCCAGGAGGCAACCCCGTACCGCCAATTCCAGAGATGACCATCGTCTGTCCCGTTGTCCCAGCCATCGGGATGATGTATGGGCTTGGCGCAGTTGCCTATGCTTGCCCGATATTCTGCATTCCCTGTGCGACATTGTCCATCGGGTCGTTAGTCTTCGTCGCCTCGGCCACCTTGCGTTCCAGCGTTCTTGGCTTCAGGGACTGCTGCACCAGTTCCGCGGTCGTCTTATTCAAGCATCTGTAGAACTAAGCGAGTAGGACTCTCTCGCTCACCTTGTTCTTCCCAATCACTTCACGTGGCGCCGACGCGAAGTCAGCGTACGTCTCACCAGGCATCATTCTTCTCATACACACCCGCCATTCCGCGGCCGACCTGTCGAGTCGTTCGCCGTACCGTCTGAGCAACGCCTTTATCAGATACGTCCATGTCCTCTTTCGATCGGGTAGCCTGCGATCCATGTTGACCCACCATCGGGCTGCGTTCTCGATCAACAGGTTGCCTAGGATGAAGTACAGTGCTCGGCCCGTCCACGCGCAGCTGCCGGACTCTTCAGCTCCCCGTAGCGCTAAGTCAACCTTGTCGATCTAGGTCCATACCGACACCATGGGCGACGGTGTAAACGTAGGCAGCTCCATGTCATTTACGCTATTCCGCTTGAAGTGTTTCTCCCGCCGTCCGCGCCCGTCTCGTTGCTCCCGTCGGCTACGTCGTGCGTACCGCTCACGCTGTTTCCGGCGTCTCTTTTGAACTTGCCGCCGATGTGATTGATCCAAGTCACTGTTCGAGCCGGACGAGCTCTCCTCGTCGCTGTCCTCGCTGCTCTCATCATCATCCGAGCTATTCTCGCCGTCCGAGCTGTTTTCTTCGCTGCTGGGGAGCTCCTCGGCTGCTGCGTCGTCGTCATCGTCGCTTCCTTCGGCTCTATCGTCACTGTCATCACCGTCGGAGGGGTCTGATGCGTGACTGCGGCTTACACGTCGCACTGCTCGGCGGTCACCATTGCTGGCCGGACTGTCGCCCTCTTGGGGATCAAAACGTCCTCGATGACGTCGTACAGCTGCGTCATCATCCCCGACTGCCGGCTGAAGTGCCGCCTCCATCTCCCTAAATTCGTTAATGACTGCTGCCATCGCTGTTACGTCCGACTAAGCAGTCGCATCCAATCCACCGGAGTTTAAACTGTCACCTACCTGTGGGTTGTCAGGATGTGCTGATGCTTCATTGTCATGCTGCGGCTCCTCGCGCCTTTCGATAAAAGGAGCTTCGCCAGCCGTCTCCTTGCTGCTCCCCGAATCCAACGTCACAACCACCCTACGTGACACAGCGTCATCTTTGCGCGATCTAAGCACGACGCCCACGGGTGGCTTGTTTTCAGCATCGCCCCGTCGTTTCTTGCGGTCGTGGGACGCACTTCGTCTCGTCATCCTCGCTTTGCTCTAGCCCGGCGCTCTTGGCGAAGCCTTCGTCATTGTTCTCGTAGCCGTCATCGTTTCTCGCTGCACACGCGAATACTTGTCTTGAGGCCCCTGTATGACCACCAGGTAACGGGCCAATTATCTCGCCCGGCCGTGGGGCGGGTCGTCGCTCCACAGTGCTGCACAACGGCGTCCGCTTTGTCAAGAAGTACGACTTCTAGAGCAAACAATACCCAGTGCTAACCGACAGGACCCACTTGATCCTGCGCCGGAACGTCCAGCACTTGTGTTCGTCCCTACTTTCTTTTCAAAAATAGACTGCCTTAGCCACTTGCTAGTGCAACCTACACTTGACCTCCAGTCACACACACGCCGAATTCCCTGTCAGCACGCGTGCGACCTTCACGCTCGTACACTCGACTCGCTACTCCTTACAGAGTAGATTTGAACCGGCCTCCTTCCAACAGGACAGATTCTCAGCTGAGCAACCCTCACCGCTTCCCGCACCCGAACACTGGATTCATCGGGATGTGCAGGACGCACGTGCTGCACGATGATGCCACTTGCATCATTCGCGCCACTCGCCGCCTCACACAACCCAATATTTTTCCATACCTCGCTTGTGATCGCCCGGCACGGTAAGTGCCACTCATGCATCCCATCCTCGTCCACATGACCAGCCAGCAGTGTTGGCATTTTTACATTTACATTTTTACATTTTTACGTTAAAAGTGTTTTATGCGCTAAATTAAAACATTTTTACAGAGGGATCTTGCATTGTTGACGTAAAAAAGAGCTAAGCCTACTTCAACCGACCGGGACTGCCCCGAGCTTGATTCACAACAAAAGAATCCCCACCGTACGCATTCACACCGCCGCCGCCGATCTACTTCCACCCTCATGGAGCTCCTACCCGGGCTGCAAGATGACGGGTCCAAACGTGGACGCCCACCAGGTCCTCTTGGCATGAGCTTTTACCGGCTCAATGAGAAATGCAATAAATCGATGTGGTGGACTGTGTGCAAGTATTGTTACGCCGCCCATGTAAGTGCTAAAACAACCATTCCTTTTCCTACCCACATCCGTGGGCGAAAGGAAAGTTGGGAGAAGCACTTGGACGAGTGCTTGTACTACGCTCGCGTTACAAGGAAGCCGGCTCAAAGTGATGAAAATAAAGCTGAAACGGATGAACATGCACGCGCCTACAAGCACCAACGTACTTCACCCCCGGCATTCACACCTATTGAAATTATGCTGTTTTGGCGTCTTTTACTGGAACTTCAGGCGGAAGCACTGCTTCCAGACTCTTTCGTGCAGCTTCGTTCCTTCCGACGCCTGCTCGTCTTTTTGGATGCTCGCTGCGGGCTTCCAGGCGCCGTGCCACATCGCCATATCATTGGTGGTCGTGTTCTGGACGAGTGTGCAGAGCAACATTCAATTGAGCAACGGGAAAACGTTAGAGCCGTCCAAAGTGGTGGGAGTAAACTTTCTTTCAGATGTGTGGGAAACGATAGCGAAGCAGCATGTACTGGGCTGCATGGTTACCCTATTTGGCTGTGTAATGAACTATGGTCTACGACCGACTGGTGATCGCCATAACGGCCTTGCGATTGCGGAGCAAATGGAAGAGGTTATCGAGGAGCTGCTTGCGTCGGGCTGGAATGTGGGTGCTGTTGTTAGCGATAATGCAGGTCAATGTGGACGAGCTCGTCGTATTTTGGCTCTTCGCTATCCGAAGTTTGCTTACATCCATTGTTTTGCTCATGACATCAACAATCTCGTCAAAGCTGTCCTCAAAACAGTTTTCCAGCAGATTTCAGCAGACGCCGCAGGTGTGGCTAGTTTTCTTAATACTTCAACTTCAAAGTGGTTAGTTCGTGCGATGAAAGCTATGCATAAGCGCTACGGAGCTAGTCCTGCTATTTTTACGCTTTGTGAGACTCGGTGGAACTCCATGCAGGCATGTTTTGCCTCTCTCCTTCGTGCACGAGGAGCTCTGAAAGATATGGTCTTCTCGTTTCGAAACAGCAATGAAATGCCAGAAAAGCTTCGTGTCTTAGGAGAAAATGAGTTCTGGACTAAACTGGAGACGGCCGAGAAGATCGTTCGGCCATTATGCACCGCTTCATTTCGTTTGCAGAGAGATGAAAACACCGTAGCTGATGTTGTTACTTCCTACATGGAGATTTATCGAGGCTTTGCCTCTACCGAGTTCAGCGACTCACTAGTTAACCTTGTTGAAACCCGCTGGAATGCTTGTGAGCAGCCATTGTTTATCTTGGGTTTTTTATTTCATCCTGGATATGTAGAGCAAGCACGGTAATTGCCTTCGACCGTCCTCACAACGCTTGATGACGTGTGTCAGTTTGCACAGTATTACTATCGTCGATTTCTTGATGGCGATGACAGCGGGCTGCGCGGTGAAATGCTCAGCTGGCTTGAAGGGAGTTACTCCACATCTCGCGATGTCGACTTCAAAGAGGACTCAGTGGTCACGTTCTGGAAGTATGAAAGGAAAGCAAAAAAAGACAGCAAGTTGCCAGTGCTTGCACTTACGATTTTGTCAATAGCCGTGAACACGGCAACTTGCGAACGTCTCTTCAGTGAACTGGCTCTCATACTCACTCCGAAACGGAACCGCATGAGCATTCAGAAAGCTGCAAAATACCAGATCATGCGTCAGTTTGTCCGCGAAAAAAATCGCCTAGAGAAAGTAACACCGACAAACGTCAAGAAGCTATTACGTACGATAGACCCACGCGAACGACCGTGCATCGCTACGCCGCAGAATTCAGCCCGCTCCACTCCAGCTCGTACGACTCCTGCTCGAACGACCGCAACTCGTACGACTCCTGCTCGAACGACCGCAGCTCGTACAACTCCTGCTCGAACGACTGCAGCTCGTACGACTCCTGCTCGTATGACTCCAGCAAATCCGACACGTACACCAGCGGAAACTCCAAGTCATGAGCCTCGAGGTACATTCGCTACTCCTGACCGACACATTCAAGAGCAACTTCAGTCAGCACCACTCGCGAGAGTCCTTTTTACCGAGCAGCAAGACGTTGGAGCAGTTGTAGCGCGTTGCCTGGGAGAGCAAGAAGTTTTGCCAATGCCCCAAGATCCTGCGGTCATTGGGTCTGCTCCGTTAGATCCTCGCAGCTACTTCGGCACATCATTCCTGGAGAGTGAGGCCGTTGATACTTTGTCATCTGAATTCGATACTATTGCTATCAGCGAGCAGCAAATGGAGCAGTATCTGGAGCAGTTTGACTGGGAAGAAATCGGAGAGTATGGTGACGAAGACACTGTTGATATGTGGAACATTATCTTGAACCCTCCATGCAATAGCACCAGTGTTACCAGCAATCAAAATGGCAGCGAAGCCGGTTTTGACTCCGATACAAGTGCAGGAGATGGCGTTACCAACCCCGGTGCGGTTTCCCAGGAGAGCGCAAATGACACTAACACCAACGCTGATACTGGCTTACATCTTACAACGGAACGGCTGGGGTCGTGAGGAGAATCAATTCCAGTGGCAAACAAGCAACCTTACCCTTCTGAAAATGATCCCTTGTTTCGACAAGAAAAATTCCTGACTGGGATCCGAGCACGAAAGACCAGTCTGGCGTCGCTGGTTGGCAATCTGCAGTAACTTGATAATGTTGCGTGATGGAAGCGAAGCCGCTAAACATCTAGCCGGGATCAATGTAGGCTTTCCTTCAGCACACTGGATCGAAGAGTCAAAACCGAATAATTGTAAATATCGTTCACCACGTTAAACGCGCATTTGCAATTCATCTTCATCATCATTTCCACTTTCGTCACTTCTTCCGTTGCTATCCGAGTGAACCATTTCAATGTCTCAAGTGCTAGCCGAAATTTCGGCTGGAAGCCGGATAATCTTTGAGGTGGTGGAGTGGATAATGGTGACGATACAGCACTCAATGCACTTGTAACAAGGCCGGCACCTGGCCGTGGTCATCTGAGATGTTTTTCCTTTTTCACGTTTGAAAATCTACTTTTTACATTTTTACAGAGGCTTTCACTTAATTAAAGTAAAAAGCCCCGTAAAAAACCAACACTGCAGCCAGCCTGTCACACTGCAACTGCAACTGCAAGTGCTCGTCCATCCTCTCATTGTACAGTATTGATCGGATTCGTAATGGTTCATTTGACCGTCCGATCCGTTACAATATATTTGAAATGTGACGAATCCGTCTGCCAGACCTCGTGCGCGAAGTGCCCTCAAAAGAGGACTTGAGATGCGACTGTGTAACTAAGCTTTACCGAGCCATTTATGATGTTAAATGAAATACCCCTTTCTTATATTGAATGCAGGGCCTCGTCGTCACGCAGGCACAGGGGCCCAACAGACATGGTAAACGTTACCTTTGGTGTACTGTACATGTGTTTGCTACAGTGGGTGCCTTCCGAAGTGGGTCCCACTGTACCACTCAAATAATAAATCTATTACATGTAATCAGAAACGCCACTTCGTATTTGATAAAACCTGTTACTGTAGTTTCGAAAGGCGGAATGGCCGAATTTGAAATCCAACAAACCAGCTGTCGCCACAATGGCTGGCAAGCAGCGAAATATCAAAATACGGTTCTTTCCTTCCAGTACTATTAATAGTAATTAGGAACGCAGACCGTACAATTCAATGTACTTCGTACAGTAATACATTATGTATGTAATACACATGTAATACATGTACTGCACCTTATTTTTGAATTCGGAATTTCAAAAGCGCCGCACTATAATACTGGCTGCCAAGCAGCAACTGCACGCGCTGTACATGTTTTATGGTACCGGTACCGGTACAGTACCTCCCTGGAGTCCAGCCCTCATTGCACCAGGCGACGTCATTCCAAGATTGACTTGCAACCGCACATAGCTCTACTTCCAATAATGTTGCGTCATTCGCTTCGCTGCACCGCCTCCACCCTGCAGCAGCGCGCGTCACCAGTTGCTGCTCGCGCACTGAGCTCTTCAGCTGCCAATGCCGAGTACGACTACGTGATCGTAGGCGGCGGTTCTGCCGGCTGTGTGCTAGCCAACCGCTTGACGGAGGACCCGAGCAACAAGGTGCTCCTGGTCGAGACGGGCCCGGATGACCGCACCAAATGGGACTCGTGGAAGATCCACATGCCCGCTGCTCTCACGTACAACTTGGCCAACGAAAAGTACAACTGGTTCTATCACACGGAGCCGCAGAAGCACCTGAACGGCCGTAGTCTGCCTTGGCCACGGGGTCGCGTGCTCGGCGGCTCATCGTCACTGAACGCCATGGTCTACATCCGTGGCCACGCGTATGACTATGACGACTGGCAGCAGAGCGGCGCCGACGGATGGAGCTACGCTGACTGTCTGCCTTACTTCCGCAAGGCTCAGAACCACGAGCTCGGTCCTGACGACTACCGTGGAGGCGACGGCCCGTTGAACGTCATCCGCGGCAACCAGAAGGACCAAATTCTATTCAAAAAGTTCATTGACGCTGGCGTGCAGGCTGGTTATCCTTTCACGGAAGACATGAACGGATATCAGCAGGAAGGATTTGGTTGGATGGACATGACGGTCTACAAGGGGTTCCGCTGGAGCACAGCCTCCGCCTACCTGCGTCCGGCCATGAAGCGCCCCAACCTCACGGTCGTCACGGACACTTTTGTGAGTAAAGTGGTGTTTGAAGGCAAGAAGGCTGTCGGCGTGGAGACTGAGGACCGTAAGAAGAAAAATACGACCCAGCAGGTCCGTGCCGCCAAGGAAGTGATCTTGTCTGGCGGTGCTATCAACTCGCCCCAGCTGCTTATGCTCTCGGGTATCGGTGATGCCGATCACCTGAAAGAAGTGGGTGTGCCGGTGGTGCAGCACTTGCCAGCAGTGGGTCAGAACATGGAGGACCACTTGGATCTATACGTCCAGTACATGTGCAAGAAGCCCATCACTCTGCATAACGCGACCTGGTGCGTTGTTTGCTGTTCGGTTTTTGATTTTACTTTGCAATTTTGGTTTTGAGTCCTAACGTATTTTTTATTGTTTCTTTATTATTACTTGCAGGAAGTACCCGCACAAGATGGTTGCTATTGGATTGGAATGGATCTTTCGTCAGACTGGCATGGGAGCGTCATCCCACCTTGAGTCCGGCGGCTTCATCCGCAGTGCCCCCGGCAAGCGTCACCCTGACCTGCAGTACCACTTCCTGCCTGGTTCACTGACGGGCCAGCTTACTCCGGGAGCTTACCACGCTATGCAGGCTCACTGTTCACCGATGCGCGCTCAGAGCCGTGGCTGGCTGAAATTGCGTAGCAACGACCCGCACGAGCACCCGATCATTGAGCCTAACTACCTGAGTGTGGAACAGGATCTCGTGGACATGCGCAATGGTGTGAAGCTCACGCGTGAAATTCTGGAGCAGCAGACACTGGACGAGTACCGTGGTGACCCGATCTCGCCGTCCAAGGACGTCTGGACAGACACCCAGATTGATGACTGGATTCGTGAGCACACGGAGAGTGCCTACCACCCGTCGTGCACCAACCGCATGGGTGTGAACGAGAACACGGTCGTTGACCCTCAGACGCGTGTACACGGTGTCGAGAACCTGCGCGTCGTGGATGCGTCCATCATGCCCAATATCGTGAGCGGCAATCTTAACGCACCGACAATTATGATTGCTGAGAAGGCTGCCGACATCATCCTTGGCAAGACTCCTCTGCCCAAGTCTACGGCACCAGTGTACCAGCCGAAGAACTGGGAGACCAGCCAGAGATAAGTTAGGAACTTCAAGTATGCGCCCCCCCCCTTCGGGTATCAGTAGAATGGCGACGTAATTCAGGGTATCAAAACAACTTACATAACGCAACGTCAAATTGAGTCTTCTGCATGTAGTTTCGGTACCGTGAACAACTCTGGACCGCCCGCTCAATTCAAATTCCCTCATATTTAATGCAGCATAGTACGATTTGATAAGAATAATGAGAGAAGGTGTTATACTGTAACAAGAAGTTCATCGATAAACACGATTTTTTAGGGAAAGAAATCGCAAAAGTATACCCAACACTTGAAAAAGCAGGAAGCTTATTCAGAACTCGATTTTGGGAAGTCTGTTCAAAAGCAGACGACCAAGCACCGTTCTTCGACCTGTGATCTCGTCCTTTGCGACGTTGTTGATCAAAAGCACTCGCGTCGGACTTAGTGAAAGAAGTGAAAAGTTATTAGTAACCCTTTCACTATTACACTAATCATTCGGACAAAGGTACCTGGTCATCTTCAAGACGACCTTCGCGCTCTCTGGGACCACGTTGGATTATTTCTTCTTGTCGTAGAATTCTTTAAATCTTTCCCAAACTTTGTAGTTCGGGTTCTTGACGACGATAGAGCGGTCCATGCCCTCGAAGAAATCTTTGTAGACGTTTTGAGGAGTCCTCCCCATCATGTATAATACCAGTAGTAGAACTTGGATTTTTCCGCAAATGTGCTTTCTCGCTCTTCCCCTTCGGTAGCTTCATCGTCTCTCAGGCCGCGACGGGATTCTGATCCGATGTAAGCAAGTGAGACACACTGTGAGTCAAGAGCGGGGTCTCCGCTCCAATCACGAGCTTGGATTTTTCGCCGTTCGCCTCGGCGCTGCTAGCGATGACGGCGACTGCAGTGGCCAATATAGCGTAGACAAAGCGCATGGTTCAGTAATTAAACTAACGAATCGCTGTCGGGGCCGGAGAGCGAATTGCGAACTGGCTACAGAGGCCAGAGTGAAAAGGTGGAACAGTGGATACGCTTTTCTGACCAAAAATAAACACTTTTTGGTGAACGGTAGACATAATTTGACACGACCAAACACTTATGCCTCGAACGGACCGCTGGCATACACTTTTCTGACCACTAGCAAACACTTAAAGAAAGGACGAGGGTTTTACGTACGTCTGCACTTTCCGCGCGGAACCTGCACAAAACGGGCGAAACGCTCATAATTACCTGACTTTGTCAATTAATTCTGGACCGCTGGTTCACATTTACCTGGCTTTGTCAATTAATTCTGAGCCGCTGGTTCACATTTACCTGACTTTGTCAATTAATTGTGAACCGCTGGTCCGTAATTATGTCACCTTGTCACCGTTCTGAAAAAGATAACCATTTCAAATTATATTACAGCCTACCCAAAAAAATACCCCCTCTATGCCGATCACTTTTTGGATTTCGAATCTCCCGCGCTTTCCCGACCAGACTGGCTCCCGCTCCCAGCTTTCATTTTGAAAGCTGGCACCTGGGGGAGATTACAGACAGTGAGCGCCAGGCCGTCTGGGAGACCTTACTGCTTCGCAGCGTGGGAGGAGTGCTCAAACATGGAGAGATCGTTCGGGTTGCAGCGTACTTCCGTGTGGGCCGCCAAGTTGTCGAGCGAATTTGGAGGCGTGGAATCAATTCGATGGGATATCGAGTAGCAGCCGTGGTCAAGTCAAGGAAGAGCGCATGTGGGAGGAAGAAGGTGGTTCGAGCTGAGCTGTGCGAGAGAATCGCTGCAGTTCCTGTCAATGAGCGCGAAAACCAGCGTCTGCTTCAGCGCGCATCCAACATGAGCTGCTACCTGATTCAGCAGCTGATCAAGGAAGGCTACATACGGCGTGCGCTCAGACAGACCCGCCCACTACTTACACCCATGCACAAGCTGGCGCGCCTCCGGCACAAGGACAAGCAAGTAGGAGCCGGCACTCTTCCTACGTCACTGCCTTGTGACGCTATCTCACTCGCCAATGCTAACGCGTACATGCTGCTTCTTGCAGCGAGCAGCCCCTACCGCCTACCGCTGAAGTTCCAGAAGCCCCACTGAGCGCCCCTTCAGAATGTGGCGATGTAGTTGACGTCTTAGATCCGTTTTTGTATCTGTAGTTGCACGGCGGAGCATGAACGCCTGTGCCTTGCTTAGTTTCTGTTGCGATCTACTGGTTCACAAGTTGAGGCTCTCTAGGGAGGTTAGCTTTTGGTCCCGAATGGGTTTTGTGCCACCGGCTTTTGTCCCAAATGGGTTTTTGCTAACATGTGTGAGAAAGGTGAGAGAAGGAGAGACAGGTAATGTAGCAACACAGAAAGTTATTCATTCTGGAATATACGCTCTGCTGAGCAGCCTTCCTCACTACACTAACGCTCGTAGGCTTCGTTCTATCTGTCACCTAACAGTGACATAGCTACTCGCTCTGCGCTAAATACTTGCGTACTGCAAGTATTTTTAACTGTCAGCTCTCGGTCATAAAGCTAGCTAGCCAGCCTCTCACAAATTAATTAACGCTCAAATGAACGAGGCGGAGCGCTGCGCAAGAAAAAAACAAATGGTTATCTTTTTCCGAGCGGAGGTAGTAAATGTGAACCAGCGGCTCAGAATTACCGCTCCACAGTTCAGTGCAACCATTGAACATAATAATGCTAACCACCAAACCGATAGAAAACGTATTAAATTTGCATGGAAAAACGTTTGGTGGTAAGCACAATTTTATTTGTCCTAAAGAGCACATTTGTAGGGATATAAAAAAACTTAAGCCCGCTTACGCTGAATTTGTCTCTACTACTCCGTCTGGCGAATTAATTCTGAACCTCAGCCTAAAGGGTCAGATACTCTCCTACCTGACCACCACCCAAACGTCTGCACGATGCCCCCCAAACTCTTCTGGATCAAGCGTGCCGAGCTGCATGTCGAGTCCGACTTCGTCAAGTTTCGATGGGATCATTTTTGCTGCTCGAGCATTTTTTCAGTGAGAACAAAATGGTGCAGCATTTGCGCAGGCGGCAACGAAATGGCCGAGCGCCGCCTGCAATGTAAGAGTCCGACTTGCGGAGGATCGGGGTTGCCGAAGAAGTGTGCAGTGCAATGGAAAGTTTAACACTGCGAAGTCTCGTCGACGTGGGTCGTTCTCGAGAACACTGAGAAGCATTCGCGAGGCGATACGCCGTGTGCTGTAGGGCCACGCCCCCGCGTTACTCCTGAAATGCGGGAGTACATCAAACGCATGGATGAGAGCGCAGTACCACCACGCTTAATATGGAGTAATCTTCTGCGAGCACCGGAGATTCCTTCCCCAGCGCTAGGATTTCCATCGTGCGCCCAGGTCCAGCGAAACGTTCGTTACAATCGATGGCTGCACGGGTCGAAGAACTCAATACTTAAGACACGCGAGCTGGTCATTTCGAAAGCATTCAGAGCCGATATTGACCCAGAGTCGGCGTTCGTTTTTGGAAACCGACATGACGAAAGGGGATTTCCGTTTGTGGGTAATGGCGAGGACGATGAACCTTAGATTTTGGGTATAACCAGTCTGAAACTCATGCAAACTATTCTGGCGCTACAGCAGAAGGGGAACTTCTCGATTTTTCACCTCGATGCAACTTTTAAACTCAGTGACCTGGGGTATCCAGTTATAACCTGTGGCTTTACTGACCGGCGAAGAATCTACCACATGGCCAGTATCTTTATTGCGAGCCAGCGAACTGAGCGTGAGTACTATGAGGCTGTTGGTAGTTTCGTCAGGGTTTTTCGGGAGCGATTGGGTGTAGCACTGCGTATCGATGCTGTGATGGGAGACGCGGAGAAGGGTCAAGTAAATGGACTAGTTGCTATCAGTGGGTTTGAGAACAGCATTTACCTTATGTGCTTTTTCCACGTACTATACAACGTACGTAAGCGTATCCAGCACCTTGCCGCAGCCCTTCGAGCTGTTGTGTACCGCGGAGTTCTAGATATGCACTACACGCTTAGCAGGGACCATCTTTATCTGGAGTGGAATCGCATTTCTCAGGAATGGCTCCTGGACGGAAGACTAGAAACTTTCACGAACAATTTCTACAGTCAATGGATCGCTAGTCGCTTCTGGCGGTGGCAGATTTTTCACTCGCCGGGGGCTTTTGCAACTACGAACAATCCCTGTGAAGTTTTCAACGCAAGCATAAAGAGATACACACAGCGCAAGACGTGTGACACATGGAGGTTGCTGATGAAACTTCTGACGATAGCGGAAGACTACTCTATATGCCTTCCCACGTCTGTAGCGGGCGCTCGAATTACACCGCCCAAGGAGGCTACACGATTGGCAAAAGTATTGGTTTCAACGAGTCGAGTGGCTATCTAAGCTACGCCCACGCCTTCGGTGGTACGTGTTTTATATGCTGGCGATGATCGAGAGATCCCTACAGAGGTGAATGACATCTCGTCGCTTTCAGACGACGTTCCTCTGAGCAGTGAGCGTCTCGCGTCGTTAATTTCCCCCGAGTGCCTTCAAGATGAGGAAAAACAAAAGGCGGCGAGCTTTTACAGATCTGCTGTTAAGTGGTCAGTGCGTAGAGCCCACCACGTTGGTATGCCCAGAGAGGGGTGGGTGGTGCGAACAGACTTTAACCAGTGCTCCTGCTACTACTATAAAAAGTTTTTGTCTTGCGCGCACATTATTTGCGGTCGCGCTGCGTACGGTCTCAGCGTTCCTGGCGTCAACGGATACCAACTAAAATTTAAAGATCGACGGATTCGACGAAATGTACAAGGTCAGGGTAGGTCGGATCAAGAATTTGGTGTCAATGTACAACGGGCTCAGATGACATTGCCGGGAGGTTTACCCGCACTACCCTTAGCTACCCCGGATCATTTGCATTGCGGTCCGATACGCTATCCCTCGGGTTATACGCTAGATTCTTACGTTCCCAACCACATTTGGAGTGCGGGTGCGGTGGGAGTAAACCCCGACACATGGGATACGCACCTTCAGGGTGTTACCAGTACGATACGTGGAACAT